AGCAGCCTTGCTGAGCAGAAGACATGTCTTTTAAAACATTAGAAAATATTAGAGATCCCAATTTGAACACTATGTGTGAATGTTACAATAAATGTATTAATAGAGCTGTTGTAATTATTATCATTATTATTGTCTTTATTTTATTTTACAGAACAGTAAAATTACAATACTAACATTTATGAATGTTGATGGAGTTCTTGCATTTTCTCAACTTGGCAAAACGCGCAGGAAGACCTCAATGCTTCTTTTTGTTGACAACAGCAGATTTATAAATGAGTCTCATTACGAATATGTTGCACGTATTGCATTGTCACACGCGATATAAAAATTCATAAAAATGTCCTCCCCCTCCGGTTGAGCGGTCTGAGTCACCTGTGAGTAGGATGGCCGAAGGAGATGAATCCCTGGAACTTTTTCGACGTCGAAAAAGACGAAGTCTGTCGTATGTGAATTTTTCGGGTAACGTAGACTAACCATGTTCCCATTTTGCGATTTCAATCATCATACAGTAACCAGCAACAATCACCCCTTCCTCTTCTCATCGAAGAAGTTCGCTGCCTGCAGTACTAAACAGTCTCTCGCTGTCGGTGCTTGTAATGATTTTTGCGTCTTTCTCAGACAGTTTACATGCTTCCACACTGCTGTGCTGACATGTTTGATGCATTATAAAGAGTGTGTGCCTCTCACTCTGTGCTGGTTGCTATTTGATCGAGTCACGTCATTGTTCGGTACAATTTATTTGGTCTTTTCGCTTATTCATTATTTAATAATTTCGGTTGCCGAACATTCGGTGCATCCCTAAATTTTTTTGATTATTTCATTGTATGTTATGGTATATACAACAATGCGTCACACATTAGTTGTGTGGATTATCCTCACGTTATTAAATTAATACTGGCCAATGTAAAGGCTTAAAACTCCTTACAAATTAATTAAACAAAGCTAAATGGAAAAAGGACCCAACACAAAAATTCATTACCAATCAATCCGACACTGCATAATATGTGGCAAATCAATCAGGCCTTGCAAATATCTTTACCAGTTTTCCATAATAGATTAACCCCTAAACATAATAACCAGTCCGTCAGAGTTTGTAGAGGCCCTACCTGGTGCCTTCACGCCTCACACAATCAAAGAAAACTGGACATGTGAAAGGCATCTAAAGGGCTTCGTTGGCTCAAAATGTTGTCTTAAAAAGTCCTCCGATGGGGCCGTAATCTCTAAAACCAACCGTTCCAAACACACATACATCACGATGAGGCTGCCAATCAACCCAATTCTTCACCAGGAATTACACCTCTACAAACTCAAATGATTTTTAAAAGAATATTCTACACAGCAGTTGTCTATCATACAATGTCACATCGGACGTCTTTGAGGGCAGAGGTTGAAGATGGCTTTGGCAAAATCTGTCATGCTCAGCACTTGAACAGCTAATCTGATTGTGTTTCTGCTTTCCACTGTTGTGTGTGATTAGTGTGCACAGAGAGGGACACTACAGAGATTAGACCCACTGCGTTTGCTTCTGATGTCATGAAATTCGTTTCATCATGTGACTAATCAATAGACTACACGACTCAGAGAGCTTTCATCTAGAATATAAAAAAATGGAATCGATTTGCATAAAAGAAACTCAGAAACAGTGATTGTAGTTTGTTTCTCATGACAAACTGGTCTTGGGATATTAATGCAAATTAGTATGATTATGGCGATCTTAAAAATCTACTTTGTACATTCAACAGTACAGCAATGCACTAACAATGCCAAGGTCATGGGTTCCCAAGAAAATCAAGTAATGATAAAATAGATACCCTGAATGCAATGCAAGTTGATACAAGCATCTGCCAAATGCATAAATGTAAATATGACTATATATGTATTGCTAACAATGTCTGAGTAACAGATGTTTGCAGAGGACTGACTAAAAGATAAAAACTAACCCAACTCATGGACCGCAGAACAGAATTTGGGCAATCGTCATAAATGATTCACAGTGATATTAAATATTGAGTAAACTGGTGCACACCTGCTTTCTCTCTCTCTCTCACACACACACACACTAAAGCTCTACAATAATACTACCTTGGAAATGTTATGTTGCAAAATGGTTTGGATCCAAGATTTGGGTTTATTTTGCTGCTAGATTTCTCTCAAAATTTCAGATTGATAATGACATTCAAATTCAGTCAAACACCTTCCCCAACAAAATGTTTTTTTTTAAGACAAAGGGAGATGCATAAGATGATGACAAGCAATTAGCAATGATTTATTGAATTATTGAAAAGTTTCGATTATAAGCCTACTTGTAACCTTAAAATAAATTTTAGGTATTAAATCAAGAGAGACAAAGGGCACATTTATGGTCTGTTAATTTAATACAGTGCTAAATAAAATCTATGACTACGTGGCATGTGAATACAATTTTGGTCCATCTTTATGAATGAGTTAATACTGGACTAGCTCTAAATATATTAAAGGGTGCATTACAACTGAAAAGAATACGTAAATCAAGTGTTGCATGCCTACCTGTAGTGGACAAAGGTCCGGTTCTCATTCTGCATGCTAACCACTGCACTGCTCGCAGCCATTGAAGAGCATTATGAAGTACTGATCCGAGTCAAGTCCAGAAAGTAATCCAACAGGGAAGAATAATGAACTGAATCCCAGAAAAAAAGTTTGAATTAATTATAAACTCTTCCAAAGTCTCTCTGACGTTTTGCAGTGGTGGAGTCCAGTGCACTACAGATGAGCTTATCCAGACTAATATTCACCACATGGCTCTGGGAAGTGAGTGTTTGTGTGTGTGTTTTGTCCAGGATGCTCTTCCGGAGCTCTCTGTGAAAAGAACACAAGACGCCGAGTGTGAAGCCTCATTCTGTGCGTAATGCCATGGCAACACCCACTAAGCGGTGGACACATGCAGTGGAGGCAGATATTAAGAGTGTGTGTGTGTCAGCTTTGTGTATGTGAAAGCTAAATCAAGGGGCCCAACAACAAGAGAGAAAGCAAGAGCGACTGGCCCATGAACACAGTTGATTATCTGCCATGCAAGCAGGCCGGTACCAAATCATGAAAGAAAACGCATTCATTTTTGTGGCAAGAGAAGGGTTTTGTTCACCATTCTCTTACAAAGCCCCACAGATGTAAAAAGAATCACAGCAGGAAAATGGTAACTGTCGGTCACTTTCAAAACATATTACGCCTCTGTGACATTTGGAAAGCTGATTTGTCATTGCCAAACTAATCCAGAAATAAGATAATCAGCTTGAAGAATTACAGAGTTCACTGAAACATTTAGTCTACTGTACAGTATATTTATCATTTTAGAAAGATCCAAATATTGCACAATGTCAGTATGGTGTGCCATACTTTTCTTGTGCATATTGAAGTAGTGACGAAACCGAAGTAGCAATAGATATTTTCTTCCGTATTGTGACATGCATCTGGGTATAACATTATTATAGAGGAATAGAGAAAGAAAAAACGAAAGGCAGAGACTTAGTTTTGACCATCGGTTGATTGTATTTTGTGATGTGGGTGTTGCACTAGTTGCGCTAGTGGATAGTAGAAAGGCAAGGTATAAGCAGACAAAGAGAAGTCTGTCAATTCCCTTGAAAGATCAAATTATGACATTTTGATTAATTAAGAGGACACATTTTTTTAAATAAAAAATAAATAAAGGTGTGGTTCTGCAAGTAAAAATAGTATATTGTTTATTATGTTTATATCGGTAACTTATAAAT